TGGCCGCGAAACGTGTTGTTTGGGGCAGAACCCCAAAGGGAGATACTATAGGGGTACGGGTGGACGTTCTGTGGAATGTGTTGCCAGGCACCTTCTGCCAGACTTGAGCTGTGTGTGTCTGTGTCTGCGGGAGCTCCATCTACACAGAGTGACAGTGGCAATGTGCAGGCGCGCGCCCATTTAAAATGCAGCAAGTGTCACCATTGACTGAAACGAGGCGCAATAAATATATATGTACAAGGCAAAGACAGCACTGGCTATATACAAAGTGGCAGCCAGCAGTGCCTCGTCTTGGCCTGGCTTTATACGGGCAAGGCATGCGCTGCATATTGGCAACAATGCAGCTGAGCAGCAGCAGCAGCAGCAGCAGCAGCAGCAAAGTAAACGGTTGTTACACTGCCTTTAGCCTGTGGTGTCTGTCTACCCATCCCTCCTCGTCATTTAAATAACAATAAAATTTGATGACAAGCCGTAATGCAGATCCCCCCACGTTCCTGCAACCTGCTGCAGTTTCGATTTTGGAGCTGATTGGCTTTGCCAGCATAATAAAGACATTCGATGCCTTTTTAAGCGTTTCACTTTCGCACGTAGCCAGCGTTGTCGTTGTCGTCGTGGCAGTGCCCGTAAAAAGTTTGCACCATGTCCGGCTGTAAAAATAAATATCACCAAATTCTTCACCAGCCATGGCTGCTGGTTTGCGGGGGAGGGGCGAAAGTTGAACACAGTCTAGACAGACCCCCAAAGCCCACCCAGATCCACGCTTTCCATTTCATTAGACAATGCCAACTTTTAATTAAGAAATCGTGCTCTTCGACCGCTCCTCCTCGATATCGATGAGAAAAGACAGAAAACAATTGCAATTACTCGAAGAGCGGAATTGCAAGTAAAAAAGACATCAAAGCAATGAAGTTTCCTGCATTGGATCAACTCTTTTTTCGGGAGTATTTATTACATTTGCTCCTTGCTGTTGATTACTTCCAAACGCTTTCTGTGCGCACTCTCCTCTGGTGTTTCTTCTCTGCTGCAAAGTATTTTTCCTGGGCTTTGTCTCTTGCTTTGTCTCCCATCTAGCTACCATTGTGCTTTACGTGCTCTCGGCGTGCCCCACAGCTGAAATGTCGAATGTGTTCTATATGCCACACTCGTTGCACTCGTCTTGCCAGCCTATGGCTCCTCAATGGCTGTGCCTGTGCCTGTGGCTGTGGCAGTGTGAACAAAATGCACGTTTCTCAGTGAGGATGCAAACAAGTTTGTGTCTCTCCCTCTCCTGCTATCAACTCGAAGACGAGAGGGCCTGCTGCCACTAGTGCTAGATGTTGCCTGCAGTTGCCATCGCCGACGCTTTGTATGAAATGTTGCTGACAAACCACTTGAAGTCTCCTCTGTCTCTTCTTCAGCTACATATTTGTTTTCGGCACTTTTACGCTGCCCAAAGCAGCTCCCATAGCCTGTTCCGTTGGGCAGCCGAATGACAGGGTATTGAAAGTTCGTTACGCTTAGCCCTGCTTTGGGGTTTTCGTTTTTACTTTGCCGCTGATGTATTTCATAAGAAAATTCGAGTGACAAGTCGGCCCCCCGTCCGCTATCCACTTTACACAGTTGTTGCCGAAATTATGCCGCCCGAGACAGACACACACTCGCGTGGAATGGAATCGTCTGGCAGGGAAAAAGGTTAAAGTGTAAGTGGGGAAAAACAAATTGTTGGCTGGACCACACCAGACAGACTGGCTGTCAGACAGCCAGTCCACGCTCCCCGTGCTCCCCCTCCCTGCTGCTGCTGCAGCCATCACTCTGACGACGATGCGTTCACACTTGGACAAGTGTCGAAAACTGGCCTACTCGGCGGCCGCGCACAGTTCTTTTCTCCTCCCCGCCCCGACCCGCACCATCAAACAGAAACAGAACTTTGCGTGGTGATGACGACGATGCTGGTGGAACAGAGGGGAGAGAGAGTGGGAACTGTGCCCAAAGAAAAGATGAAGGAAAGTTTTGTGCGGCTCGGTTCTTGCCTTTTTCGTTGAAACATTTTCGTAGAAAATTATTTCGAGTGCCCGCCCGGAACATCCCAAACGGGCTGACAGCTGCGCTGGGCCTCTCGGGGTCTATGGCTCGGCGGCTTTTTATCACTTCACTTCAAGTTTTTGTTCCCCATCATAGGCGACGGCTCCCAGCACTCCTCTCTGCTCTCGACCATCTTCAATAACAATTTTCAGCTAGGCAAATGGAAATTCTTGGGAAAATGTGCACATTCAAAGCGGTTGCTGGTCGCTTTCGGCTCTATTCCAGCGAAAGTGTGGCCCCCCCAGAGGCATCTACAATCTCCTCCCTCTGCACACACTCAAACACTTTCTAATCAATTATATCGCACTTATATGCAAATTTTTCGGTGAACAAACAAACAAATAAATCAATTCCATGCCATTCAACTAAATTCAATTTCAATAAGGCTGCGCAGGCAGCACAACACAGCACCCCGCCCCGAGGCGGCACAATTGAACCAATTTGAAAATCACCTTTCTCGCCAGCGAAATTGCGTTGTCAGCCAGCAGCACCAAAGCCAACGAAGCCAGCCAAGTGTTTCACTTTCTGCCTAGTTAACAGAGTTTTTTCTGTTTTTTTTTTTGTTTTGTTTGTTGGGGGGTAGAGCTGCCTGGCTGAATGGTGCTGATTCTCCCTCCGAGAATGTGAAAAAAGCGCTTGAAAAGCGCAAAATTTCATATTTGAGACGAGAAATTGGGGAATATCAAATTTCAAAACGTGAACAAATCAACTGAACGGAAGTGGGCAAAGGCGGCACACGAATGCTCTACCAGATGATGAGGTTAATGATTGGGCCAGGAGATTTAAGAGAGTTTTCGGAGTGTCTAAAACTGAACGTTTGCATAAAATATTGCAAGGAAAAAACTACATAAACATGCAAGCTTCTCATGGATTCAAAGAACTACAATTGCCACATTTTATTTGTAAATTATTCATTCATCTGCAGATAGAAATGCTGGAAATTGTACAGAATTTTCGGTGTGTCTAAAACTCAATTTCTGCTAAAAATGTTGCGCGTTTTTTGGCTTTGAGGCAAAGGTTGTTGATTCTTAGATCTGTTAATACAATATTTAAATGGTAAATTATTCATTCTTCTACCTTTTCCACAGTCGCAATGCGACTGCATTTGCAATTCCCAGTCGAACATTCGCATTCCTGTTGCCATTACTCATCCTGTTGTCCGATCTCTGCTCTGATCTGCTCTGCTCTGCACTTAGATATTCAAATCCGATCATTCATCCGTTTGGTTGAGTCATTCGCAAGCCGCAGCAACCATCCGTATGCTGCCTGGAAATTCCTGCGCATATATATAAATGTGCCTTATCATTAAATTTCAATTAAATGACAAAAAATACAAACGAAATTGTTTTGACGCCCAAATCCACTTTTCGGAAATTCAGCTCCAACTTCAGCTCCAACTTCAGCTCCAACTCCAGCTCCGGCTCCAGCTCCAGCACTGGCTTCATACATATTTCTTATATTTTTGAACGTACAACATACATTTTGCATGCTCAATAATTGTAGACACCGTGGGGCGATGACATAAACACGAAATGGGGCTCCATTCATTGACAGTCCACAGAAAAACCCCGAATCGTGGATGTCGTCTGTGGCTCTGTCAAATCGAATAACAAATTTTTGGCGCGTGTGTTGAAGCCCGTAAACAAATTTTTGCAGAGTATAAAAGGGTTTATGGAAGAAAGGCACTATTTGTGCAACAATTACTATACCAAAGTATCTTTCGAAACCATTAATGGGTAAGTGTAAGTCGAGGAACTACTCCCCAACAGCATTTGATTTGATTTTTTGTTGTTTGCTGCTGCAATATGAGGCTCAACTCCATGTTAAACATTTGAATATGTTCCGTCCAATGTTGCTGCTGCTTCTGTTGCTGTATTTCTTTTCAGCTTATTTGACAGACAGCCAGCCAGAGAGAGAGAGAGAGAGAGAGAGAGAGAGACAGACCGACGGCAGAGCAATGCTGTGCACTAAAATTTGATCTCTCGCGTTTTGGCACGAACTGTAATTGAAAATTTTCGTATGTATTTCAAGAAAACACCAAAAACAAGACACTCGAAACACTTGGCTTTGGGCTTTTCACGGCTATCTTTGGTGTGGTGTGGCATGATACAGGGGGGCAACGGTAAGCCTCAGCTTCAGCTTCAGCTTCAGCTTTCTTGTCCGGTTACGTGAAATTTCAAATGTCATAATTTCTGACAGTTTTGATAGTCATACAAATCGAGTGACAGCGCGCAGTCAGAGGCTAACGGGGAGGAGTGTAAGCTCAGGTGGTGGTAGCTGGAGATTGTTTTTGGCCAGAAGAGCAAACAAAGTGACAGGTTGAAGCACATCGAAAGCCGCACAGTGGGTTCAAAATAGGAGTATAGAGAGAGAAACTTGGAAGGAAACTTCCGCCCATTGTCCAAGGTACAATAAGTACCAAAGTGCTGGAGTATTGATTTGCTGAGTTGAGTCTGATGTTGCAACCTTTTGGACCACACATTGACTAAAACTTTAGACTAAAACTTGTGCCACATGCTACGACATGTAATGTTGCACAACACGTAGAGTTCTGCGCAAGTCGTAATGGCCTCCGCCTAGAGTTAGTTACATTTTTGGGTTCATTCCCGGAATTTCCAGGGAATACCAAATGTAGGACTGTGTCGTAGCTGAGGTTTACACGTTTTCTAGTTACTTGGCTGTGCGCTTTTTGTGAAGCACAGAACTTGCCCCAGAAGTGTGTAGATCTTTTTTTTGGGTACTTTGAGGCATTTGACATTGACAAAGTGGTTCCTCGAATGAAATTGTCATAATTTTTCTCCGCTTTTCTACATGTCTTTTGAATGCATACAAAAGCGTTAATGTTGCCCACTTTGTCATACTTTGCGCTAAACAATTGATAAAAGAGCCACAGAAAAACCGAACCACAAGAAAGATTTTTGAACACACATATCCCAAAAACCAGGGCGAATGAACTTTTCACTAACGGTGCATTCGGAGGTCTTTACAAGCCAAGCAATTGTTATTCCAATATGGTACATACACTCATGAGTCACTCATGAGTCATCCATGACAACTTTCTTAACAGCCGCTGCTGCGGCATGGCTGCGCAGGAGCAGTCGCATGCCCTTTAGCTCCAGGGTGATGGCAGGGGATAGTGGCGTCCCGACACGCTGTGCATCGGGATTGAAGATTTTCAGCAGCGAGCTGGGATTACCATGGGGACCGATCTCCAGCTCGGCAATGGCATCGCCAACCGCACGCACGGGTGCGCCTCTGGAACTGAGCTTTGGCGCGCCTGAGGGCAGCTTTTGGCAACCTACAAGGACAAGTACTACAAAGGGATTGCAGATCTATCAATCGTTTTCCTAGAGGTTTTACTTACACAGCAAAGTGCCAAACCATGGGAGCTGCCATTTCCACAGCAACATCTTTGCAGCGTTCGGCAATTGAGTGGCCAAATGCTTCATTTTCTTGGGTATCATTTACGTTGAAATCAATTTGTTTCGCTCTGCTCGCTGCTTATGTAAGCCGTTAAAGAGTTTAAGCCGTGGCACGTAGCCCGTGAATTGTCGCCAGATTGCCAGAGTTTGTGCCGTGAGAACTGCTGCGTTTTACGAGGCATCTAATGAAGCAAAAGGAACTCTCCGCTCGCTCCAGTTGACACTGACCGCAGATGCCTATCTCAATGTTTAGGTTGCCGCACAAATAAAAGTCAGAGCTGCCGCAGCACAGCGTTAGATAAATCAAAAGATGCGAAAAACGAGTTGTAAACCATAAAGAGAGCGACGACACTTTTAGGCCGCGTTCGGAGCGAGAGATCCCGGCGAAATGATAAATGTTCCCTCTGTGTATCAAGTGTGAATTTTAAGTGAAAATCCAATGGGGAAAAAGAGAGCTCTACTACGTGGTTTCCCAAGTAAAATTCAAGCTTTAGATGTGCCAATAAATGATTTTAATTACATCAGCTGTCGGGCCCCATCCTCTCTTTATATTTTCTGTTCTATTGTTTTGGGCCAAGTTCAAACACGAAAATTGTGTGTGTTCGTTTTATGGGCCTTCACTTGCCACCGTTCGGTAGTAAAGGAAATGCGCACTGGGGCCATAAAAGCCGCACATAAAACATAAAACAAAATACAAAAACTAACCAAAATAAAATCCAAAAGAAAACTCAAACCCGAAGCCGAAACCGAAGCCGACCTGAAACTGAACCCTGGAAGAGTTGAAAAAAAAAAAGGGAAAAAGAAGTAGAATTATGTTTTCTGGAAGACATATTTCTCGCTTGGTCAGATTCCACATAATGCCCAAACCGATAGAGCCAAACCCGGCTTAGGATCGTAAAAAGTGCAAACTGTAAATCTTGACAGTTTTTACAACCAGAGCTAGAGAGCTACCTGGCTAGAGAGTAGTTCTCAGTGCTGTTGGTTCCCGGTCTAGAAACAGCAAACAGAATTTTGTATTTATGTACCCGCTTTTATTTTGCGCCGCCAAAAACTATTAAAATGAAATCGAATGAATCGGGGGCAAGCACTTGAGATAGTTTCAGGGTATTTTTAACATAAATTCAAATAATAATTGCTTATGACATCGTTCATTGCCGAGCTTGGAGCGTAGCTTAGACATGAGCCTGCGACGGGGACTATTTATGAATTGAATTTACGATCGCATTTGAAAGAAAAGCCAAGGAGAGGAAATTGTCTTTAGGTTCTGCTCCCCATTCGAGTGCTGAGGCAATATTAATTGACGGCCATTAGCAGCATCACTCAGCTGAAAGCATATGCAGCCAGACAGCCAGCCAGCCAGCCCAATGGACGTGCCACGGGGGCGGCAGAGAGCTCAGCTGGTGAAGGCTATGCAAAGGAAAGGAAACTATCTGTGAACTCATACATCAATGCCGCTAAATCCACTTGTCAGGAGGTACAAACGTGAGAATCGTTCAAACATTAAAACAACCAGAGACAGAAACTGAAGCAGAAGCAGAAACAGAAAAAAACACACACACAAAAATGAAACAGAAAACACAAAACTGAAACAGATACAGATACAGATACAAAAAAAAAAAGAGAAGAGAACTATAAGAAAAGCAAACGACAAACGGCAAACAGATCGGCCAACGAGGAAATATTGTCAGGCGACACTCTTTAACCCACGAGATGTAGATGTATCCCTGTGTGCTGTGTGTCTGTTAGTTGCACTCTAGCTTTTGCCTTCCCCCTGGGGAGATTTGTGGCCGGGACACCTGCAGCAGCCGCTGAGGGCCCGTTGTTGCAGCGAAAGACTTTTTTATGCTAAATACCAACACAGTTTATATTGATGACGACAGCAGCAGCAGCAGCAGCATAAGCATATGCAGATCTACCCTATACACAAGTTTATATATGTGCACCCAGAGATGTGTACGTGTGTGCAGGAAAGGTAGGGAAATGTGTGACAAAACACCACAAGGAATTTTAATCCCAAAATGATTGATAATCATTCGCATGGAGAGGGAGAGATGCGGAGGGAAAAGCTTCATCACGTTCCATTTGCCTAGGTGTAAAGTCCATGGGGTATTATCAGCAACGCCCAAAACAACGTCTTTAGCATGCAGCAGGCAGCATTCAGCATCAGCATTCAGCATCAGCATCATCATCATCATCGTAGTCCCCCATCTCTGCTCTGCCTGGCTTTTGTTTGCTGCTAATGTTTGCACTTAATTCACCAGACAATAGGCAACCCAAAGAGAGTGGATCCGACGGGGGAAGTGTTTTCTTTTAGCTTTTACACACGGAAAAAGTGGGGGAGACATGGCAGAGAGGCGGAGACTGTGTGTGCCAAGGAGAAAAGTCTAAATTATGTCGCCCGACGCTTGCATACGAGAATGCATCATTTTGTTAGCTTAAGCAAAGACGATGCGCTTTTTTGTGAATGGGGAAACGAAGCGAAACACTGAGAGAAACGAAAAGAGAATGCATACAGAACTGGGGGAAGTGTGAAAGAAAAGCTTAGGGGAGTAGCTCAGTCCTTGGAGCACTCAGCTCTCGAAATTTGCCAGCTCATGTTGCAACAATGTGTGTTTGCACCCCCCCTTGATCCACCCCGTCTTAGGTGAACATTGTACCATTCAGCTCAAGTTTTATTTGAGGCTTTTTCCTATGGTGACACCTTTTCTTCCTCATCTTCTTTTGGGGCTCCAACTATTTAACCTGCCACACAATTCCCCGCCCCACCTGAACATCGAACAAAAGCCGCTGGCCCGAGCATCATAATTTATCACGATGCTGGGATTAGTTGACTTTCAGTTTCAGTTTCAGTTTTAACAACTGTTTATTTTTAACACGTTGCACATACTCCGTGACAATGCCCCCAATGCCAAGTGGCCTCTTGCTAATGTTCAAATTTATTGACTATCAAATGCCTGCTGCATGCATTGTGTGTGTGCCACTGCATTGGTTTGTGCCACTTTCGAATGAGAGACACCCAAACTGTGCATCGAACAGTGGATACCCTGTCTCGTGGTGGTACACAGAATGGACTGGTTCGTTCCTCGTACATGTAGCTCGCTGCCACGCCCCAACTGCAACAAAGTGGAGTCCTCTATATTGGCTTTAGTGGCCCAAAGTGTTTGTAATTGTTATGGCCACGCGGAGAACTCGTTCTTTCACATTGGCTGAGGCCTGCAAGCGCGAACTTTATGGCTACACCTACCCAGAAAGCAACGGCAGATGATCAGTCGTACCCCCAGCTCAGGCTCCATCTGCATCTCCTTTGGCTTTGAGTTCTAGCGGTAAATAAAGTTTTTGGCAACACGGCCGCGCCCACTGCCAGCCGGCCAGGGACCACCTAATGAAATGTGGCCAGTACTCACGGGCACACCCCGCCTCACCTCCCCCTTGGGCCTCTCTCTCTCTCTTTCGTGGCGCTGTATTAAGAAATTACAAGCCAAACGCTTGCCCCACGCATTACGATGGAAATTAATTTGCGCGTTCGGCAAATTTAATTCAATTTTTTGTTGCCGAACAACGCGGATGCTTGGCCACGCCCCGAAACGAAAGTTGACCCACTGATGGCTGGAGGAATGTGCTGGGATCAGTCGATGTCTATCCATCTCTCTCTCTCTCTCTCTCTCTCTGCAGTTGGCCAAATCGCCAGCCAAAGGAGTATGCGGGGTACGAATTAAGACATAATAAAGCTGTCCCTCAGTCTCAGTGCTCTGGTCGGGGCCCATCCGTCAAGCTGCTGCTGCTGCTGCTGCTGCCTTTCGGTTCTTTTCGGGGCGTGTAACGACGCACACCGAACACCTTCGCCCCAGACAAGATGTTTTTGGCTTAAGCGATATTTATTTTTCGTTGGCTGGGGGGGCTAAGACGACACACAGTGAGGTCGTCATACTTGGGAAGTTCATTTTGCAGTCGCGGCTGAAACTTGGACTGACTGGAGGAGGGCAACTGATACGAGGGGAGGCAGGGAGCCCTGTCTTGGTGCCCGTTTGACAAACGAGTGTCATTTATCAAAATGTGACACTATTTGCGCCAAGTCATGTGTTAACTGCACTTTATTTTATTGTTATACGTTCAAGTCGAGTCGAAGTCTTGGCCCTGCCATCGTCTCCTCAAGTGCTCTCACATAAAATATATATCATAATTGAGGGTTACGTTGCTGTGGCTTTTCGGTTCTTTTTGGTTCTTTTTGGGGCATAAAGCTAAGTAGAACAGCAATTGACTCTCTGCCAGCAGGATGGATGAAGTTCAGATTGAGATAGGAGCAAGAAAAATTGAGTTGTCCGCGTTGGCCGTGTGGTATTTATTTTAATTTTAGGAGAACTTTCACGCAGTGCGCACAAATTCCCAGCATCAAAATACACTCACCAAATATGGTTGAGCAATTAGTTGAGATATTTAAATATATATAAATTTGTTTTCATCTTTTAAAGAAGTAATTTTGGTTTACCCTTCAATTTCTTTTTGGGCTCTACCTGCATTTAATGCCAGTAATATAAGTATTATGATTATGTGCTCGAAACGAACGACGCTCGTCGCGCTCTTAAATGTTGTTTTTACAAAAAATACCCCCAAAAAAAACCCCAAAGTCCGCAGAGTAATTTCTTGCACGACATTAATTTCTTTTAAATTACGCATAATTGAAGTACGGCCACTCGAACTTGATCGATGGCCGCAACGCGCAGTCCAAGTCCAAGTACTCCCCAGTCTCCCAGCTGAGGTACACCAAACAAGTTCTGCCGACATGTGTGTGAGAGGTACTCTCTGGTACTCCATCCATCCATCCACCTCAGAGTGAAATTTCCACAAAAAAGATTGCTCTCTGCGCTGCCATAATTATTATTATATATATATATATTTTTTTTTTTGGTGTGTGGTTTCCATATTTGTACGTTTATGAGGGCAAGTTCTTGGACTGAGCCGGACCGACATTGACATTCGAATTAGACACCTGACAGCAGCAGCAGCAGCAGCAGCAGCGGCGGCAATAGTAAATTTCCGAGTACGGGGGCTCTAAGCCACTGTCATGGGGTTGACTGTAATTCGACGATTTCTTCTATTTTCTTCCATTGAAGCTGAAGTTGAAGCCTTGGCTGCACTACTTTGAAATTTGATTTAATTCTACGTACACACTCTTTTCCCTTTTATTTTTTGGTCGTTCTGCCCGTGGGCCGAGTCGATCTCTTGGCCTGGCCTGTCAGTCAGTCTAAAATTTCATATTGTTCGCTGGGTATTTAGTTTTTGTTGGGGCTTTGCCAGCGGCTTTGTTGGCGCGATAAGCGGATTTTTTATTACATCAGTTTAGTGTCACATTAGCGCGCAGCACTCGCTGGCTGGCTGGCTGGCTGGCTGGCTGGCTGTGGGGGCGACGGATCTGATCTGTGTGGATTCCAAATTCATTCCATTGATGCCCAGTTTTATGGTTAACCAAGAGCGAGCCAGAGACATTTAATAGTCACAACTGGAGGGAGGGCCACTCAACAAGGCACTTTTGTATTATATATCCATCTCAATCTGCAACGGGGCATCGAATCGGTTCAGATCGGAGTGGATTGTATCGGATGGCTGCAGCTCTCTTGCAAGCCATAAAATCTTTCAGCGCGAAACACTACAGAACTTATGAATTTCTTAATTTTGTAACCCCCAGCCCAACTCTCTGCCGTGTCTTGGCTCTCTTTCATTTTATGGCATTTCGTTTTGTTGGCGATTGCTATCTCTGCCTGTTTCAGGTTTTTGCTCTTTAAAGTGTCTCGCAGCAGGGCTCGGTCGGGGTCTCCGTCTCGCTGCATGAATCATGGAGAGCCAGTTAAGAGTCGAATTCTTAAATGTTTCGCTTGGACCGTAACCCAATTTAATTCCACGAATTAATTGTAAATCAAATGGCAGCCAAAATATATATTCCTCGCTTCCCGTTCCCTTTGATCACAGTCACCTGGGCTTACCCTTAATTCCCTCAAAATACTGCTTGAAATATTTAGTTTGCAATGTTAGTTTTGTGTTCTTCATTTTGCTATTATTTCGACCTGCGGTGGGGCTGCATATTGTCCGGGTTGACATTCCTCGGTTACTACTCGTTAATGGCATTTCTGCTGTTCAACGATCTGGAGCACACAAAAGTGGAACTTGTTGATAGCATCGATGGATATGTGGATACTCAGGGCTATTTGGTGTTGGGCATAGCATACAGCATTATGACAGTCGTCTGTTTAATCCTGACCCTGGCTGGTCTGCTGGTAGGCATTTTCCTGCCTGAAGCATTAAAGAAATTCTTTAATTGAACCCGTGCAGAAATCCACTTGGTTGTGTCTGGCCTTCCTGCTGACCCAGATACCAGCGGGCTTGGTCAATTGTTTCTATCTTCTTGTGGCCTTTCTCTATGCCATTGAGGTGGAAATGTTCATCATGTATGCAGTGCCGCAGAGTAAGTTCTTTCCATGATAGATCCGCACATACTCCCCTCTTTTTTGTATAGTTTTGCTGATCTACGTCGATCTGGTGGCATATTCGTATATGGCCGAGCTTAGGATCTTTGCCAAAGGCCGTAAACATGCGAATGCTAAGAGCAATCCTGAAGACTATTGAAGTTGCTTGCAAAAATGTATCAAAAATATCAAAATTTAAACCACATACTAAATGCTTTTTCCGGTGGAATACACGCAACAACCGCGATAAGGTCGTGGCAGAAGGAGAGAGAGTAAGAAACAAAACATGTCAAGAAATAAAAGCCAAAATGATTTATCATAATGGGAGTTTGGAGTCTGAATCGGTTTCGGAATCAGAGTCAAAATAAGAATCAGAATCAGAATCCAAGTCGATGTCGGAGTCTGTGCTCCCAGCAGCGTTGCCTAAACGGGCGATAACGATGTCCAAGCAGACGACCAACGGAGACCCCAAAGATGATGATGATGACGACGACGTAGAGACGATATCGAGACTGAGAACGGTGCTGTGCGGCCTTTCCTCTGCGATGGTTGGTTGGTCCTCGCAGCGTTCCGAAATGTCAACTCTTCATATAAAAATTAACGAAATATAAATTAAAAAATATGCTGGGCACTGGGACTGGGCGATGAAATGAAAACCAGAAATATTCCTTTTTGGTTTTCGGTTATTTTTTGGGTTCTCGGGCGATTTACGAGTATGTCCCTTGGCTGGTATCGGGTTACGCCTGCGCGACATTGTTGCTCGGGGCTGGGGCAACCCAACAAAAAGAAAGAAAAAACAGAAACTGACAACAGAAATTATGAATTGGCTGTGTTGGCCGTTGGGGCGCCCGTTTCGGGTTTATCGTTGGAATGCATCGCTGCGTTTAAGACCTTTATCTATGGGCCGATGCATTTTTATCTAATGGAGCCAGCAGCAGCAGCAGCAGCAGCAGCAGCAGCAGCCTCTCTGGCCTTTGATTGGGGTCTGGTTTCATGTCTGACTTATGACAGGCTCACATCCACGTAGCCCATGCGCTCTGATAGCTTCATAAGCCTTCTGATAGCGATAAGGCGCGATCCGAGAGCGCGCTAATTGCTAGCAAAACTTTATTTCGGTGGGGCGCCACCGAGAGACAAGGGATTGGCTGGGGAGTGGAGCCTGCGGCAACGTATCACCTGCATGTTATCGCCAGACAAATGCATTTTGCAAATTATTAACATATGTGCGGCTGCGGACCAGGCCAACCAGCAGCAGGAGCCAGCAGGCAGCAGTCTGTGCAGATACAGATACATTTGTATCTGACGCCACCGCTGCTGCTGCTGCTGCTGGTGCTGCAGCTAATTGATGTCGGTGCACAAAACTTGATTTATTTCTATTAATAAAGCAGCCAAAATGCACACAGGAGTGGGTCGTTCAAAGTCGTTCGCTCGCTTTGGAGTATCGGTGTATCGGTGGGCCCGACACTCCGTGGCGTTACATTTTCGGCTGCCAAAAGCCCCAGTGGGAAATGGTTGCTGACCAACAAATGCTAACTGTTCGGAACCAACCGATTGGCTTATGCATTGAGTGGCTTTTCCACTGGGTGGCACCAGGCCTGGCCTGGCCTGGCATGGCCCCAAAATTACACTCACACGGGGAAGGCAAACCGAAAATGTTCGAGTCAGAAATAATCTGGCAACAGTTGTTGCTGCTCTTGTTGTTGATGCTGTTTTGTTGTCGATAGGAATCACATAAAAAGCTGCTTGCATAAATTTTAACACCGATTTTAATCGACGTATTGTCGAGCGAACCAGCGAGCACAGCACCAGTGCCCCTGTCTGTGGCTCATTGAGCCACGCCGATCACACTTTGTGGCCAGGTTTTTCGGCGGTAATTACCAGCCGGCAGCAGTTCCGGTCTCCGCTGCAATCGGCTGCCGCCTGCCAATGCAAACTATAATTTTCGTTATAAATTATTGATATGTCAAATCAAATTCTCGGCTGGCTGCGTTTTCTTTTCGTTCGTTTGGGGTTCGGAGCGCAAGATTTATGGCCTGCAATTTGCTCGCTGGGAGACTTTTTTTATTTTTGGTTAAAATAATTGTAAATTGGAAGGGGAAGCTGGGGCAGAGTGGAGGCTGGATGATACTCTGAAAGTTTATCTAAATATATCTGTGCAAATTTATTCCCCAAAAATGCTTAAAAATGTCTAACAGTTTTTGACAATTTAATGGCAACCAATGCAAGACTTTGGGGAAAACTCCACAGCAGCTTCTGGTAAATGTTGTATAAAATTCCCAATTAAATATTAAATATTCCCATAAGGAAAGTATGGAGGTACTTTCCAGATATTTCAACGATATTTTCATATTTTCATGTAATTTGTACAAAATTGTTACCTTTCCTCACAACTTCTCCATCGCATCTCGCATCTCCGCAGCACACACATAAATATTATTTATATGAGGAAAGACTTCCACGTCGTCTGTGGACCCAAACAAGACAGATTACGTTGATGGCATGGCGGACATGTACAACACTTTGCTTAACAAAGTACGAAAAACAAAACAACAAAAATATACGCAACAATTTCCCTGGCTGCCTAAGATTTTCCGGGCCTTGCGCTGCACTTTTCCGCTGAATTACCTCATGCGATTTTTTTTGTTTTGTTTTTCGGGCCTCCTTTCGACATAACTGGAGCGCTTTTTGGCCACAACCTGATTTGGGGCGACGGCGGCGACGACCCCAAAAACAAAATGCCTCAACAACTGCTTGTCTCAGGCATTTGCATTTCGATCTTGCTGCGGCTGCAGCGGCGGCGGCGGCTAACTGGCTAACCAGACTAACAAATCCTATCGTAATAAAAGTTTTCTGTACAAAATTACAAGCGCTTGGCTTTGGCATGGTGGGGGAGGACATGGACATGGACGTGAGCGTGGTGTACGTGGATGTGGATTTGGATTTTAGACAGCGGAGTATGTGTACCAGAAGGCAATGCCAAATTCAGGCTGGGTCCGTGTCCGCGTCCGTATTCGCTTCAGCCACATTAGACTTTCACTTTTCAGCCGCTCAAATGGCCATTTGGTTGGGCATTTTAGTCAGTGCCCAGACCGCGCTTTGAATTTATGTTGATTGGCCGCATTTGTGTTTGTTTGTGTGTTTGTATTTCGCATTTTTATTTGCAGCCTAAATGTTGTTAAATTGTTTTTCCGCCGAAATGACATGTTTTGACAAATGATCTGGGGCAGTAAATTAGCAAATAAACCAACATAAATCGGGGGATACTTGTGTCGCGCTTTGATGCTGATTTAAGCTCTCAATGAGCAAAGAGAAATCCCCGTAATAAATCGCGGCATTATGACTATCCTTTGACCATGCCGTGCCCCGAAAATAAACACTAACAAACCAGGACAATGCCAGTTGCTGGCTGATTGGCCCTGTTCTGGCCATCCTTGCTCTCGCGGCACTACATAAATTTCAGAATTTATGGCTGAGTTTTTTTTAGCCTCCTCCAACACATGGCCCAGATGGAGCAGGGAAACTCGGGAGTTGCGTTACGGATTTGTAGGCGTATGACATGCTGTTGTGCCGCCCCCAAAATAGAGGCGTTGACGCTTACTCCTTTGCCGTTTTGTCTCCCTTTTTTTACGACAAGGCACAGGAATCTGCGGATAACTGGGGTGCAGCAAACAGTGGCAGGACATGTCGTAAATCGCTGCGACATAAATTCAGTGCACTTTCCTACGTTTTGTTTGGGCTCTATGAGAAAGGAGGCGTCGTCCTTCATCTACAGGATCTACCTGGCTGGACGGCGGCACCTGACACACACATTTTCGCTGCTTCTGCCTCCGCTTCTGGTTTTCCTGGCACGCTAATCTCTGTAAACAAATCACTGACTCTCTCTCTCTCTGACTTTGACTGGGCGGCGTGTCCTTGGGGACATGTTGCCTTTAATTGCTGCCAGACGTCGCAAATTTATGGCCATCAATAAAGTGTCAACTTTTGTGTGTGTGTGTATGTGTTGCTGCCAAAGCGAAAAAGGCCAGAATAAAATGCGCTGCTGGCTGTAAATCATCGCGTAGCGACTTTCCTGGAAACTAGCTGTGGCAAGGAAGGCAAGGGAATCTCTCTGGCAATGCCACAGAGCCACTCAGAGCCACTGCCACTGCCACTGGGTCTGCCTTTGTGGCGATGCTTAACTTGCCTGAGACACGCTAGCCGGACTCTGGACTGCAGTTTTGGCATTTGCATTTCAATTGAAGGCGAGTAATTAATGTATCGCATATCTGTAGAATTTTAATTGCCAAGTCAATGCACTGGCTGGCCCCGGGTGCACGGAGAGACTCTGTCTGATCAGATGCATCTGCAGCAAAAGTTTTCCATTCCTCTGGGCTGTAAGAGGCGCGCGTGTGGTCTTGTCACGTACCCACTGTGCTAAGCCCCGCAATGCCAGCTGGCGCACAATTAAAATATGAAAAGGGTTCGTTTTGTTTCTCTACCAAGGAACGTAACATAAAACTATTCATTCAAAACCGCAAAAACCCAGTGAGCGCCCCCCAACTGACCAAATCCCTGGCAAATCATGACTCCATGGACTGCCCCTCCCCGTTCCCCCAGCTGCATTACACAGTATTTGTGGCAACAGCCACAAAATGTGAAAAACAAACGCAACAAATGCCGTTGCACGTGATGATTGCATCATTGTGTCAGCTTAGTACGTGCTCGGCCACGTTCTTGTCACATAAAAAATGGCACAAAACTCTACTCGGCATTCAATGCACTTCCAGGGGATCTTCCATAACCATCCTGGAGAGCATTAGAAACATTTGCAAGCTGTATGATTTTTGGTCTGTTTTTTGGGACAGATGTTTTGGCAACTTGTGGTGGAGGCTTACAAATGCTCAATGGGATTGGACCGTGATCGTTTACTTGCTGTAGATACAGCCAAGGTTTCCCTTGCCGAACAGAAGACTTTCCTGTTACCATTTCTCATAGTTTTTTCGACGTCTCAGCGTCTGGGCCCAAGTTCTGTTCCAGTCCAGGAATCTTTTTTTATGCCCTGACCGATATCCGCCTTATTGTTATGCAAAATCCGGACATTGAATTCATAAAAAAGTGATATTAAAAACGCATAAAACGACGGAAAGCCCCAGCCCAAAGCCTGCCACAAAAGGCTCCGAGCTCTGAGGCCGCGCGGAACAAGAAGTTTCTCATATAATTTATGTGAAATGCGCGCATTAAACTTCATTAGATCGAAATTTAAGGGGGCTCCATAAAAAAGAATAACCCAAAAAGTATCTTTCGCTTTTTGTTTGCAATTAGTTCGAAGCAGAAGCCGCATAAAAACTGGAGCTGGAGCTGGAGCTGCTGGCAAGTTCATTGAGAAACCATCGAACCCGAATATCAAAGGCGCACATAAATTTATTTTTAACGAAAATGCCCAAAGAAATGCGCCACCAACTGCGTCATTGTTGGCGGTTGCATTTGTCAAACGGCAAGCGGCAAGCGGCAAGCGGCAGCGGCAGCGGCAGCCGTCGAGCAACTTGCACCCAGCGTGTGTGCCACACAAAAATGAATTGAAATTAAAATATATTTTAAAACGCTCGTCGTAGAGGTAGCAGCCATGTGTACACATTTGGTGGCACTGTCAAAACTCATTTGGTGGATGCCACAGC